CATTTTTAGTAAAAAAAAAAAAATTAAAAATAAACATATTAACAAAAAAATATTTCTAATATATGTAAAAATTACTTATATAAGTAAAAAAATTTGTTTAAAGTTATTTAGAAGTAAAAAATAAAATAAAGTTATGAAAATTAAATGAAGAATATATAAATATTATTTAATTAAAATTGAAAATTTTACTTTATAAATAATTTTTTTATTAATTAATTTAAATTTCTTTTTAATTCTTTTCACTTTTAAATAAAATTTATTTAAATTTTTTTTTAATTCTTTTGCCCTACCAACTTTGGAGTGACTGTTATATCTTCCGAAGAATAGGCCTGTTGTTAGGGTTCTAAATCTTACACCAATAAGGGAGTTACCCATCCAGCAAGTGTCACTTCAAATTATTTTACGTGCGAACCTGAGTTTGTTATTTAAATGTTTGTGTATGTGAATATTCTCTTTCAATTTACAACTGCATGAGTTATTTTTGAACTACAAGTATAACCTCTCAAATTGAAGTTGTTAAAGAAAAGCATTTTACATAATTCAATTTACAATTTATTTGCAATATCAGATAAAAAAAAATCTCCATCTACATTAAACAAAAAAATACAATAAATAATTAAAAATAAATTATCGTTGACATATATACAATCACAACTAGGGGTGGGCGCGGGTTGGGTTGGGTCGATTTTCGCCCCAACCCTAACCCAACCCTACATGATTGGTTTGGTCGAAATCTAACCCAACCCAACCCGTGTAAAGTTTGAAACCCAACCCAATCAAGTATCGGTTGGGTCGGGTCAGGTCGGTCGGTTTAGGACAACTTATTAATAAAGATTAAAGTTATTCATTTTTAGGTGTAAAATATCACTAATATAGTTCTAGAGCCTCAAAATTTACAAAACTAATTACCACAGCATAGATAAAATTCAACCGAGACACTAAAGAGCAGAAATCACAACCAATTTAGAAGTTGGCTTCTCACAAAATTCTCTAATAGTGGGACGAGATTGGAACTTATAAGGTAAAAAAATTTCATCAATACAACATGCTCCAAATCATTAAATAGTGTCAGCAAAGAAGAAATAGCAGAGATGTAGTCAAAGAAGAGATCACCTAAGAGATGAGTCTGTTCAGATTAGTATATGTTGGCCTCTCAATGTCAAGTGACTTGCGGCAAATATCATAGATCGCCTCATTGTCAAGAAGCACGGCAACATCAGTGTGCTCCAACAAAGAGTGGGTCGAGAGAACAGAGTTGTATGGCTCAACCATAGCAGTCGAAACTTGCGAGGATGGGTAAATAGTGAACCCCAACTTTGATTTCTTACCATTCAACAGAAAGCCTCTCAAGCAAAAAAGATTCAAGTCCAGATCCAATGCCCCCACCGACAGCATGAAACACCATGAACCCTTACAATCCAGTACAATTATTCGCAAGCTTTCGGAGCTTGAGTGAGAGCGAAAGCGAGAGGGAGGGGGAGGGAGAGGGAATAGAGAGATTTTAGGGCTTCTTTTGGATTTGGGAGTGACCGAGTGATTAGCCATTTGCGCCTTTTTTTTATTTATTTATTTTTTAAGTTCGGGTTGGGTTGGTTTTTTTTTTAGTTCGGGTTGGGTTGGGCGGGTTGGGTTGGTTTTTATAGGTTAACCCACAACCCGACCCAACCCAACCCACCTACGTAGCCAAAAAATCAAACCCACTTAAAAACAACAAAAAAACCGACCCAACCCGATCGGGTTGGGTTGGGTCGGGCGGTTTGGACGGGTTGGGTCGGTTTTTGCCCACCCCTAATCACAACATTCATTATACTTATTTATAAGAATAAAAATAAATTATTGTAACATAAAATATACAGTCGACCAAAAGATGAGAATCAAATAAATATTTCTTATTTCTAAATATTTTTTGTACAATTTATAAATTTTACGCTAATAAATACAAAATTCGTGCAACGCACGAGCCGCAGACTAGTAGTTATTATAAAGCTTGAATTTGTTCTGCTTTCCACATGTGCATTCACGGTTTAAGTTAGTTAGGAAAAGATTCTTTACTGCTGTGTATATACCCAGCTCCATTGTACATTGTTTGCACGGATTAATAAATGAATAATATTCGTTCCATTCTCCAAATTCATTTGTGTCAAGTTTTATATTCTTCAAAATCTAATAAATGGGGTTATCTTGTTTTGTTAATATCAAAATTAAAATAAAGAAGATATAATTTAGGAAGGGAATTCGACATAACCTTTAATAAATTAAACTTACAAGTCATAAAAGCATAAACGAAAACTAGATTACATTTGCTTGTCATGCTCTGAATCACACACTTGGAACCCACGAATTTTAATGTCTTATTTGTCCTCAATTTAATTGTATTCGAGCTTTGAAATGCTAGCTTCCTCCACAAGGATCAGAACTAGTAGTTAACTAGTTTTGACGTACCTATTAGAAAGTCGTCATTTAGGAGATTTTCAATCTATAATTCCGAACTTTTAGTCGTTTTCTATGCAACGTTCTCAATTGAATGATCATTTTCTAGTTATTCCCACACTAATTTAGGACAATAATTACTCCTCTCCGCATATTTTGGAAATACGTATAAGGAGTAAATGTGATTGGGGCCAACCCCATGTAAAAGGTGTGAACACTCCTATATACATATTTTATGTACACCAAGCACAATCCAGTAAATTTTGAGAGAATATGTGGTTAAAAAATAAGAATTTTTTTTGAATTTATATGAGGAATATTTTATTGTGAGAACATGTTGATGAAAATGAGTACAATAAATAAATAAATAAATTTGAGAGAGTGTGGTTATTAAACAAGGACTAATTGTACCTCAACAGGCCTCCCAAGAGGGCTGGCTCATTACGTTTTCAAACCCAAGTTTCCGGCTCATTTCTTGTTGGCAAAGTAGACGGCCCATTTATCCCCATAGCTTCTAAGAAAAATCTTGATCTTGTACAAGGCCCAGAATTCTAATATCCATCCTCACTATTTTCTTCACTTTGTCCAATTATTTAAAATAAATTTTTTTAAACAGAATATTAAATCACATCTAAGCACTTTGTGCCAGACTCAAGAAAAAATAACTTTTTTTTGGTAAAAAGTTATCTCCCAGATTAAAAACATTAAATGAGTTAAGGAAAATGGAAAATATATATATTATTATAAAATTAGAGAGAAAAAGAGAAGAGAATAGATAAAATTCAAACTCTTGTATATTTTATCGAGAATTGGACTCCATATTTATAGGTCATTATTACGGTTCGTTGGTACAAAGATCATTTTCAAATATTAAATAATTTACGATGTTTTTCTTTAAATGATTACTTACACAAAAGATTCTAAAATGAATAGTGTATGGCTATGTATTTCAATAGAGTATCAAACATTACAAGTGTATGTATGCCTATGGGAAGCAGGTGCGTAATTATATGTTTTTCAATTTATAATATTATTTTAAATATTCAAAAAAAAATCTCAAAATCATAAATACTACAATTATATGAGCTTTATACAGATTCTTTAAATCTTCAATAATAATAAATTTTCCAAAATCATAAATACTATAATTATTTGATCTTTATACATATTCTTCAAATTTTCAACAAAATATGTTACTCAAAATCATAAATACTATAATTACTTGTAATCAATTAGATTAAACTCGAAAACCAGCTTTAAAAAAATCCTAAATGTTGTTTAACTCTTTATCAAATTTCAATTCAATCTCCTCTTCTTCACCTAAGTCATCTTTCCTATCATTTGATGTAAAACTATCTTCATCGAGCTCCCTCGAGAATTTCTACTGACTCTTGTGGATGGTAACATATCATTGTTAACCTGCTTCTCATCATCACAACAATCAACAATTCAAGATTGTACATTATTAGCATCACTTGCTAATAAAACTAGAGTGAGACTGAAGAAGGAGGCTCTAGCTCGGTATAGATAGTTTACAATTCTATGAAAAATTTATTTTGATTTTCTATTTTTCTAAATGTCAAAACCCTACGAATTGCTATATATAATTCATGGGCTTAGGTGATTTGAGTTTGATTTTTGATTTTTTTATTTTTAAGTTGTAAAAATGGGCTAGGCTTTAATTTTGACGTAATTTTTAACACAAATGCATGCACATTTTAACATTCAAGCATGCATATGCCATGAACAATACGAGTTGATTGCATTATCGTGCTCATACTCCATGTGCGAGACATTTCAAAAACGCGTTAAACATGTGCTGGCATTTTAGAACATTGCTTATACTATAACTGACTTGTTAAAAATATTAAAAACTTAGCACAACAAAAATACCAAACGAATGAGTGCAAAGAATTTGGAGTAATCAAATAATGTCTAATTAAAACCTTGTGAGAAAAATCCAATGCACAAAACATGAGCAAAAAGAAAAAGGATTATAATTACCCCTTGATCTCTATCAATCAAAATTCTTATACAGAGCTATCCATATTTTTGGCACCAATTGCCTTTAGTGCTACCATCTTTTTGAAACTTGTATAATGATAAGTTGATGAAGAAGGAGATTCTAGAACTTGGAGAGAAAAGAAAATGGCGGGAAAAATTTTGTTATTCACTTCTCAATTCAGAATGATACAGATACACGAGTGTATATATATATACATGGCTGCATGTGCTAAGACTCAAATAGAATGTGTGTAATGACTTACATACCCCTATGTTAACATGACTCAATACTCCCTCTCAAGATGCGGAGTGTATATTCAATATTCCCATCTTGTCTAACAAAGACTTAAATTTTGCTCCTCCCATAGGTTTAGTTAGCAGGTCTGCAAGTTAATTTTGTGAAGCTATATGTAGCATTTTTACTTCTCCTGCCTGTACTTTGTCTCTTACAAGGTGGCAATCAATTTCTATGTGCTTCGTTCTTTCATGAAAGACCGGATTGCTTGCTATATGTATAGCTGATTGGTTGTCACAGAAAAGTAATGCAGCTTTAGTATGTGTAACACTTAAGTTACTTAATATATTTTTCAACCAGCTCAACTCACAAACTGCAGCTGCCATTGACCTATATTCTGCTTCGGCTGATTATCTAGAGACCGTATGTTGCTTCTTAGATTTCCAAGATACTAATGAATTTCCCAGAAATATGCAATAACCGGTGACAGATCTTCTTGTATCTAAACATGCAGCCCAATCTGCATCGCAGAACCCCTTAAGCTGTAAATCAGATCTGCCATCAAAGAATAAACCTTGTCTAGGCGTTCCCTTCAAGTATCTTAACACATGATGGGATGCTTCCAAATGAGCCTGCTTCGGTGATTCAAGAAGCTGATTGAGGACCTGCGCCGCATATAATAGATCAAGCCTCGTTATTGTTAAGTATAGTATCCTTCCCACTAACCTTCGATACATACTAGCATCTGCAATAGCTTTCCCTCCATCCTTGCTTAACTTTAGATTGTGTGGCAAAGGACTTTTTGCTGGTTTAGCCCCAAGATAACCAGCATTTGCCAATATTTCTAAAGCATATTTTCTTTGACAAATGGTTATGCCTTTGGAAGTTCTAGCTATCTCCAGCCCTAGGAAATACTTTAAAATCCCCAAGTCCTTGAGCTAGAATTGATCATTCAATTTCTTCTTGAACTCCTCAATATAATGCAAATTATTTCCACCTATGATAATATCATCTACGTAGATAAGTAGCACAGTAAAAGAGCAGCCATTTTGTTTGCTAAATAAGGAGTAATCAGATTTTGATTGCTTAAAGCCCTGTGACAAAATGTAGGCAGTCAACTTGGTATTCCATTGGCGTGATGCCTGTTTGAGTCCATATATGGACTTGTTTAATTTGTAAACTAATTTTTCTCCATTCTCCCCCTACTACTCATAACCTGGAGGATTCATCATGTAGATTTTTTCATCTAGATCACCATGAAGAAAGGCATTGTTAATGTCTAATTGATAAAGATGCCACTTTTTCTGGGCTGCAACGGCCAAAAGAGTTTTCATCCTAACGAGCTTGGCAACAGGTGAAAACGTTTCCTCATAGTCTGAACCAGCTTGTTGTGTGAAGCCCTTAGCCACAAGTCGGACCTTTTTCCTTTCCTCTGTTCCGTCTGAATTCAATTTTACTTTGAAACCCCATTTGCAATCCACTGGTTTTTTATGTGCTGGAAGCTGGCCAACTGTCCAAGTGTTGTTTGAAACAAGAGCCTGATACTCTGTATCCATGACTTGACAACAATCTGGATATTGAGATGCCTTAGCAAAGGATTGAGGCTCATAAGCAAAGGATTGAGGCTCATAGATGGTGGATAGTGCTAATGTGTACTTTCTCTGTGAAGGAGACAATCTGTTATAACTCAACCAGTTTGATAAGGGGACTGCCTTCCAGATTCAGGTCCTTTCTCCATGGAATCTAATTGAGAGGAAGGCATCTGTGACACTAGGTTGTAATGATAATTTTGAAGATAGGATGGAGGATGCTTGGGTCTAGTAGATCTACGGGGAGGTGTGAGACATGGTTGAGGAGATATTTCTGATGAAGTTAT